CCCACTGCCCTTCCCTTTCCGCCACGAACGCATTAATCCCGCGCCGCCCCCCCCCCGCCCCCCCGCGCCCCCAGCGCCAGTGCGAGGCCACCGCGCCGCGGCTTTCTGCCCCAAGCCCCACCGCGCCCCCAGCGCCCCAGCGGGGCCCCCGCCCACTGCCCCTTCCGACACGAACGCCGCATTACGCGTCGCCCCCCCTCCCCCTCCGCGCCCCCAGCGCCAGACTGGGGCCCCCGCGCCGCGGTTCTCTGCCCCGAGCCCCCCCGCGCCCCCAGCGCTCCAGCGGGGGCCCCGCCCACTGCCCCTTCCGCCACTAACGCTTCATCCCGCGTCGCGCCGCACACCACCTCCCCCGCCTCCCCACCCGCGCCCCCAGCGCCCCAGCGGGGGCTCCGCCCCGTGCCCCCTCCGCCCCGACAGTTTTATTCCGCGTCGCGATGCGCGCCGCCGCCCCCCCTTCCCCCCCTTTCCCCGGCGCCCCAGTTGGACACCGCCCCGTGGCCCTCTGCCCAAGCCCCGCCCTTGCCCCCTCCGCCCCGACAGTTTATTCCGCGTCGCGGCACAGACACCGCCCCCCTTCCTACTCCGCCGCCCCCAGCGCCCCAGTGGGACCTCCGCTCCGTGCCCTCCGCTCCGAGCATTTTATTCCGCGTCGCGACGCGCGCCGCCTCCCCCGCCCTCCCCACCCGGGACTCGGGCCCCGTTGCTGGGCCCAGAGGGCGATGCCTTGCCCCCTCTTCCCCCCTCCTCCTCCACCTCCTCCTCCTCCTCCTCCTCCGCCCATGGCACACGTGCCACTTGTTTTACCCCTCAGGGACTTCGGTTGGCGCATTGAGAATGCCCGGCCTTTGCGCTCGGAGACGGGCATGCCGATCGACCTGCCGGCGTTGGCCCCCGTGCAGGTTGGATGGCTGGCTCAGCGCGCCTCTCGTTGTCGGTCCGATAGCGTGGCCCTCCAGTCGCGTTCGGGCTCCCAGATTTGGCCCAGGCCCGTCGCGTGGAAACCTCTCCTGGGTCTGCTGGAAGGGCCCAAGGAGACCGCGGCTGGCACGACGGCGTCCTGGGACCCCCACAACCAGGAGTCTTTAAGGAGTTGCGTCTCTCATTGCCACTGGCCTCAAGAGAGATTGCACAGGCGCGGGCATGTGGACTCACCCCTGTGCAAGCAGTGTGGAGCTGCGGCTGGCACTTTGTTTCGCGCGCGGTATCGACGTGATGCGACTCAGGCCTAGCGTGCGACATGCTGTAGTCAGCTCCTCATGCGTTGCATGGCTAACCTCGAAGCCTGGAACCCGGGCCTGGACAAGGCCGCTGCTGGGCTCTCCCCCTTCGCCCCCGAGCTGGCCCCTCCCTCTGGTCAGCAGCCAGGCTGGAGTGTTCTGGGTCGACCGCCCTGAGGACGGGGGGCTTTCAGGCAACGTGTTCACCGACGGCTCGGCCCTCGGCCCATCCAACCCGTTGCTCACGCGTGCTGGGTGGGGACTGGCCACGGTGGGCGATTGCGGTTTTCCTCGCGAATTGCAACGGGGCCGCCCCATGGGAGATGGCCCCGTGGCGGGCGGCCAGAGATTGGGGGGGGGGCCATGCCATGTATATGGCCGCCCTCGGATGTGCGACGGGGCCCGCGACGTATCACATTGAGTGCGCAGCCGCTGCGAGGGCGGCAAGATTCCCCAAGTTCGCGGTCAGTGCCGCCTGTAGTCGTGCTCATTTGTGGTCTCGTTTCTTTCACGTCCACGACGGGGAGCCCCCCCTTGCTGTGAAAGTCCGAGCTCATTCGTCGTGGGATGATGTCGAGCGTGGGCCTTCGAGCCCAGTCCATAAGCGCGGCTCGGACGTGGCCGATAAGTTGGCCAGGCACGGCGCCAGTTGTCACCCTCCGGCGACCCAGGCCGCGTTGAAGCTTCGAGTCCTGGAGTCTGTAGTTCGCCAGGCTGCCCGCTGGGCTGGTGTGCACGATGCCTGGAGGGTGGATAGAGAGCTGCGAGACTGCGATGATCTCTCGGGACCCGATGAGGTCGGTAAGGGTCGCGCCCGTCCCCAGCAGCTGGCCTCGCCGGGGATTCGGAGTGGGGCCCGTCCGTCTGTCTTGTCCGATCCGCAGCATAATGAATTGGTCGCCCTCGCCAACATGCTCGGTCATGCGTCGCGCAAAGCCGCGGATGTTGGGCCTGATGGTGAGCGCGTCGCCGGTCTGGGGGGGGGGGGGGGGCGTTTTGGTGCGCGCTAAGCGCGGGGGATACAGTTGGGGGGCGGTTGCATCCCTGGGCCGCCCCTGCACCCCGCGCACGGCTGCCGTGAACAAGCAGTTGCACCGTGTCGAAGGGTATTTTCCATCTTGGACCCGCAATATAAGGGGTGGACGATAGGCCCAATGAGGCCTGCCACCCCTTCGGATGTGTCCATCCTGGCTACCGCGTCTTCGGCCGATCTCTCCTGGGGCGGTGGCGGTGGGAGGTGGGGGTCGTGGTCGCCGTCGTCGTGGGGTGAGCGGTGGAGCGAGGCTGAGCGCGCGGCGCGGTTCGGCGCAACGCCTGAACAGTTGGCGGGGGAGGCTGACCGCCTCCGCAGGGAGGATGAGGGGGCCAAGGAGGCGAAGCGGGCGGCCAAGCAGGCCCGCGGCTGACGCTCCTTGGGTCTCTCTCTCTCTCTCTCACTCTCTCTCTCTCTCTCTTTCTCTCTTTCGCTCTCTACCCTCCCTGCTGGTGGCGCAAGTGGCTGGCGCCCCCGAGAGCGCCACCCAGCGGAAGGGGTCATCTTCTTTGGGCTAGCTGAGGTGTGTCACTGACCTCCTCCGCTCTGGGAAAGCATCCCAGTGCGACCCTACCTGGGAGTTGGAGGATCTAGGAAAGCAGCATCGAACATCTATACGAAGCTCAGCTAAGCTAAGATGAAGCTAAGCTATGATGAAATAGCTAAGCTAAGATGAGATAAGCAACGCGAAGCTAAGGGAACGTCGCTGGGGGAACCGCGGGGTGGATGCCGGGGGAACCGCCCGGGGCGAGCCCCACTGCCCAGCCCTTTAAGCTTAGCTATGCTATGATACGCTGCGCTATGCGATGCTATGATATGATTTGCTATGCTTGGCTATGTTGTGCTACGCTATGGTATGCTAATTCAGCGCTGCGCTATGCTAAGTTAAACGAAGCTAAGCTAAGCTAAGCTAAGCTAAGCTAACCCTCTAAGCAGAACCTAGGGAGGGAATTACACCCATGCTATCATATGCGATGCTGCGCTATGCTAGCTACGCTATGCTGTGTTCTGCTATGCTAAAGCTCAGTGAAGCTAATATTAAGGTAAGCTAAGCTAATATAGAACTGAGGGAATCTGAAGCTAAGGTAGGGTACTATGAAATAAGCTCAGCTAAGATGAGATAAGCAACGCGAAGCTAAGGGAACGTCGCTGGGGGAACCGTGGGGCGGATACTGGGGGAACCGCCCGGGGCGTGCCCCACTTCCCGGCCCTTTAAGCTACGAATTAAGAACCCTTCTAGGCAGAGCGCAGGTAGGGAAGAAGAAATAGAACATCGATCTCCCCATCCTCCCTTCTCCACCGCCCTGCCCAAGTTAGTGGTGGTGGGCCCGCCAGCCAGACCGCCCGCATCTTCTCTCAAAGCAGGAGGGCGGTCGCAAACTCAGCGATGCGAAGGAGGCAGCCGACGCGTCGGGGGACCAGAAGGCGCTGCAGGGGTTTCAAATGGGCGCGCCTGCGCGCCTGGATCGCCCTGTGCATGGCCGTCGTCGGCGATCCGACCACCGAAGGCGGCACGAAACAGACGTTGAAGGTATACAAGACAGGCGTCAAGTCGGTGGCGCAGCTGGCGACCAGCGCGCTGGCGTGCCAGCTGAAGAAAACCTTCAACCAGAATGGATTGAACACGGATATGTAGTGGGCCGAGCTTTTCACGATTCCAGAGCTCCGTGTTCTCTGCTACGAGCTGGCAAGTGCCATTTTCCCAAGCCGCACTCGATCCGCAAGCCAGGCGCGCCCCCGAGGGCGCCGAACACCAGGAATGTAGTGCAGGATGTAAGTAGCAGCATCCGCACTAGTACCACCAGAGCGTTGGTGGATGTCACACACTCGAGAGTTCTTAGGGGGCTCTGATTTGCATGGGCGTTGAAGGCAGCAGGGGCCAGCCTTGAGAGCCTGGACGTGTGACGCTCCTAGGGCCACAGTTCGGTCTAGTAGGAATGGGGCATCGATGGGATCCGTCCCAAAACGAATTTCTCTTCGACGTTGTTTGATATTCTTTTGTCGCCAAGATAGTGTAAAGCGGTCAGTGGAATTAAAGTCCTGAGGGACGTGAGCAGTTTTCGCCATCCACTGCCCGAAGTCCAGGCGTGCGTTGATTTACTCTTCCTCGGGCTCACGCCACGACCCCCAAAATGACAAATCGACATAGCATCATCATCGTGACCATCATGATCAGCATCGCCGTCGTCAATGTCGGCATCATCACCATCGCCGTCGTCATCACAATCATCATCATCGTCATCACTATCGGCAGCACCACTGCCATCACCACCTCCATCATCGCCATCAGCACCACCACTATGATCATCGTCATCATCATCAGCATCATCATCATCCCCGTCATCCTATTCACCAGCTTCACCCCCATCATCAACAACAACACCGTTACCATCCCCATCATCACCATCGCCATTGTATCGCCGTCGTCATCACCCCTATCATCACTATCGTCGCCACCACCATCATCATCATCAGCATCAGCATCACACCATCATTCGCATCTTCCAGGCAGGCATCCCGCAACATTCTCGATGCAGATATTCCCCGAGTGCGCCTGCCGTCCTTTTTCGTGCCGCGTCTCGGGGCGCGCGACTACTATTTCGGGAGATCCGTGATCCGCCCGCAGCCAGGACGCTGGTATAGGGAGCGCGTTGGAACCAGGAGGGTCTCTGGTATCCCGGCCGCTTTTTTGGTCCAGGTCGGGGAGCTGGTTTCTGGGCGAGGTTCGCCTCGGCGTGGGTAGCTTTCCTGGGCCGTTTTGGAAGCCAGGAGATCGAGGTCTCCAGGGCCCGCGTCGCAGTCGCGCGCCGGGGCAACAAGTTCCGATCGGACTTGACCCCCAAACGGTGTGGTGACCACGCCGCGTGGTGCATCCGTGGGGATTCGGGCTCACCGCGCAGTCTGGGGACTCGGGCCGTTTTCCCCGAAGCCGCCCCGGGCAACTGGGGCCTCCTCCTCCTCCACTTCCTCCTCCTCCTCCTCCTCCTCCTTCTCCCCGTTTCCTCGGCGGAACTCCGCGCGGTGACGGACCGCGCGGCGAGTTTGTTTTGGATGCCGAGGTCACCGCGCGGTCCGTCACCTCACGGGTTTGGGGCCCAAGGGACAGCCGCTCCCGCGTGCCCGGAGGCGCACACTCACTCTTCGTCGCCATCCTGGAGCTCCTCGTCGCGAGATGGCGGCGCCTGGGGTCTACCGACACCGACTCCCCCCGCCTTCGCCCCCTCTGGGACGAGGAGGAGGACGAGCAGGAGTACATCGAAGTCGATTCGAAGAGGGTGCCCTCATGTCTTTTCGCGTCTGTTGGATGTTATTGTGCATCCTGGGAGGGTACCCGCGGATGTTCTGTGTTTTAGCCGGCGGATGGTCTTATGGTTTTGAGGGATGTTTTTCTTGCCCAGGCACGTTTGTAACGTGTTGGCCCAAGGCGCATCAACAATGTGTCAAGCAACCCTCCTTCCAAGCTCCCTCTTAACAGGTTTTTGCAACATATATTTTCATAGCGTGGAATGCTTCATTGGAAGATATATTGAATGGTGCGAAGACACGATCCCTGGGACTTCAACGCCGCGACTCAAAGGGACGGTTGCGTCCTGACAGTCCTAATGTGTGCCCGAACACCATTCCTGAGACGTTAACGCCGTGAATCATCGTGACAGATGCGTCCTGACAAGCCTCAACAGAGCCAGATGACATCTCTTGTGACTTCAGCGATACGAGCCCTTGAAACTGCTGCAGACGTTAACCGCGAAAATGTGCGCGGCGCCGAGGCGAGCGCCACATTCTGCACGCGGGCCGCCCGCCAGCCGCGAAGCCGTCGCGCGTTTGTAGAGCGAATGTGCGCGGCGCTGCGGCGAGAGCCACGTTTTGAAAACGGGCCGTCCTTCATCCGTAGAGCTGTTGCAGACTTTTCCAGCGATTGTGCTCGGCGCTAAGGTAAGGGCCACACAATGGGCACGGGCCGCCCTCAAACTGTGGAGCTGTTGCAAATCACAGCCTTCAGGATCATAAATGGCGGGGAAGTCTCGGGCGAAACGCGTGGTCCTCATACCGATTCGACTCGGGGTGCGACAGGGAGGAGTTATTTATAAGGAAGAAGGTTGGCCGTGGAGGAGAATGATGAGGCGTAGGAAGAGTAGGAGAAGTAGGAGGAGGAGCAGGATGACGATAATGATGATGATGATGACGATGATGATGATGATGACGCTGATCCTGAGGCTGAGGCTGAGGCTGATGCTGATGCTGATGCTGATGCTGCTGATGATAATAATGATGTTGATGATGATGATGATGCTGATGCTGATGATGATGATGATGATGATGATGATGATGATGATGATGCTGATGATGATGATGATGACGTTGATGCTGAGGCTGAGGCTGAGGCTAATGCTGATGCTGATGCTGATGCTGCTGATGATAATGATGATGTTGATGATGATGATGATGATGATGATGATGATGCTGATGCTGATGCTGATGCTGATGCTGATGCTGCTGATGATGATGATGATGATGATGATGAGGATGAGGATGAGGATGAGGTGGAGGATGAGGTGGAGGAGGAGGAGGAGGGATCAGGAGGGGGAAGAGGAGAAGGAGGAGGACGAGGAGGAGGACGAGGAGGAGGAGGAGGAGGAGGAAAGGGAGGACTGGAGGAGGATTGGAGGAGGGGAGGGGCGTACGTGCAGGAGCATCATCAGTGGCGTTGGTGGCGGTGGCGGGAGGAGGAGTTGCAGCGACAATGGCAGTAGCGACGGCAGAAGAACATCAGACGTGCAGTCAGGCTGCATCAGAAGGACGAGGTGTTTGCCAAGAGCACTTCTGCATATCTGCCTCTGCCCATCCTTGGCCGCTTGCGCTGGCCAGCCCCCCCCCTCCCCCCAAAATGCTTATACTTGGGCGGCCCCTTGGCCGTCCAAGGGCCTCGCTTCCTTGCCGCGCATCCCTGGGATCCTGCCGCTCCGTACGGTCATCTGGAGTCGGTGGCGGGCCCGGGGGGGAAAGTGAGCAGGCGAAGGCCATCTCAGAGTGCTCGGAAGTTCCCCGGCCTTCTGTACAAGTTTTCTGAGCCTGCCCCGAAGGCACCGCAAGCTGTTCAGAAGGCGCGAGGGTTACTGAGAAGTTTCGTCGGCTTCTGAGGAGGCCTTCTCCTTCTCATTTCTCCCCCTCGCTCGCCTCCGATGGAGTGCCTGCGGCAGGAGTGGTTTCAGCCGCATCCATGGCTTGCACTGATGTGAGCCCACCCTCTACGGTCGCCCACGGCGACCGGGCAGCCGCGAGCCGCTGCCGCGGGAGGTGCACCCAATTGGGCCACGGCCAGGTGCTTTCGCCTAGCGTGTTGCCCTAGCGTGTTGCGCCGCCGGGTCTGGCCCACACGGCTTCGGAGCGATGCGCTATCCACGTCCCCATTCCCAAGCGCTCACGTTCCGCACTTTTCCCAGCCTCCCGCTCCACGGAGCGGAGCGACACGCTGTCAGCTCGCAGGGCAAGCGTTTCGCCGGGGTCGCCGCCGCGACACGCTAAGCAACAGTTCCCGACCCGACCGTTATTTCGGCACGAGGATGTGCCGACGGAAGAAGAAGGATGACCAGACGTGAGCATCAAGGAGCAATTTTGTTTCCAAGAAGGACGGCAATGAGTCAGGCAGTGTTGGGATAACTCCAGATCGTCTGGCGAGCGAGCCCCCTCGAGCGCTTGGGAGCACTTGATGAAAGTGCCTGGGAGCACCTGGGCCTGGGGGCGCATGTGAGCGCTCGGGAGCGCCTGGCAGCGCTTGGGCGCTTGGGAGCGCGTGGAAACTCTTATTCGCCTGCGAGCGCTTGGGGGCGCCTGGGAGCGCCTGGAGCGCTTGGGAGCGCCTGGCAGCGCTTGGGCGCTTGGGAGGGTGCCCGGGAGCGCGTGGGAGCGCCTGGGAGCGCCTGCGAGCGCTTGGGAGGGTGCCTGGGAGCGCCTGGGAGCGCCTGCGAGGCCTCCAGCACTTTCCCGTGGGCGTTCCACAGCGCTCTGGACGGTCTGCGGCGCCCAGTGCATCCCCAGGACCCGCCAGCTCTCAGTGCCTCCCGGCTACAAGGCTCGAGTCGGGCACGTCCTTCTGCATGAGGAATTTTCGAGAGTAGTCAAACAAGTCGGTGGATATTTTTGTTTCGACTATGTCTGACTATTTTTGAACACGTGTGGACGATCCTTAATTGTCTTCCAAACTCCGTCTGTCGGAGGACATGCCCGACCTGATACAAGGCCGAGCTCGCGGGGTCCGTTTCGATCCGATCGATCCGACTCGATGTTGTGTGGCCAAGTCTGGGAGTTTCAGAACTTCTGGTCGATCCAACAAGTGTCTCAAAGGATGGCCAACAAGTTGATTTTCTCGGATTTAAAGTGTGCGCTGAAGTGGGATGTGGTGGGCTATGTTTCAGGAGGGGAAAACACAGACACAATTAATCGTCGACTCCCAGGAAGACATGGGAAACTATGGGAAGTGGGGGGGAAGGCGAAAACCCTGAAAATACTGAAACATATACAGAATCTTGGGATTCGTGTCTATTTATTTGTGTGTCCTGGGGCCCCTGCAATCATTCGTGGGGGGCTCGTGGGATTTAGTGGGATTCAGTGGGTCGCAAGGGGCCTGTAGTGGGATTTACTGGGGGCCTAATCAATATCATTGACTAGGAACTGGGCGCCCATGCGACTAAGAGAATCTGCCACGCCTGGCTTCCTGATCGATGTCGATTTTGGCTGGCCCGATCCTGTTTGATTCTGATATTCTGGGGGTCCGACGCGGACCGATGGTTGCATGGCGTTCTGAAATCCGGTGCGGCCGATTCGATTCGATCCTAGCTCCGTGCCGAGTTTGCCCGCTTCGATGCGCACTCCAATCCTATTCGACCCGATTTCCCGATCCGAATCTGACTGATCCTGGCTCGTTCTCACGATGATGTTCCGCCGCACTGTCGGGAGCTGCTCCAGGCGTCCGTGACACGAGCCTTCCGCCCCTTTTCGGGGCCCGTGGGGGTCGGGGGCGGAAAAGAGGGGGGTGATGACTAGTGGGGGGGATATCATGGCGGGGGCCATGATGTTTCCCCAGATTTCATGGCGCCTCTCCTTATTCCATTACGTCCCTGGTCCCTCCGCTGGGCCGCGCACATGTCGCCGGTCATGACTTGCACCCCCCTCTCTTGGACACCCCCCTCTTGGCCGCTCCCGAGGGGGCTCCCTGGGCCTCGTGAGGGGCGCTCTGGGGGCCGTGTGGGGGGAGCCTCCGTGGAAATCCTGGGACACCTGGGGCCCGGGACGCTCCAGGCAGCACCCAGCAGCGGCGGGCTGAGGCACCTCGGGCGGGGCCAGGGCGAGGAGGAGGAGGAGGAGGAGAACGAGGAGGAGGAGGAGGAGGACGACGACGAGGAGGAGAGGAGGAGGAGGAGGAGGAGGAGGAGGAGGAGGAGGAGGAGGAGGACCCCCGCCCCCTCCAACTTCTGGTGGTGGTGGTGGACAACAGGCCCATCATCCTCGGCCGCCCTGGCGGCCGCCTTTCCGGCGCGCCCTGCGAGCGTTCCAGAGCGCTCGGGGACGGCCTCGGCATCAGGCAGATCCGTCAGGGCCGCCGGGTCTCAGAGGTGTACGGTCTGTTTTCGGCCACATTTGTTGTCGTCCTGGCTTCGTCTTGGCCCCCCAGCTCGGATGAGCAGCGCGAGCGCGGGCAGCAGGCGCCCTGCTTGCGCGCGGGCGCGAACGCGCGGGGGCGCCCGCGCGCGTGCGTTCGTGCGCCTCGGAGGAGGAGGAGGAGGACGACGAAGACCAGTGCAAATTCAAGACTCATCAATGATGTTGCAACAAACCCTCCCTCGAAGTTTCGTCTTTACAGGTTCCCCTGTCAGGATTTGCTTGGAGAAGTGTCCCGTTGGAAGACAACCGCCTGAGAATCCGGAGCCGCACCAAAACACCATTCTTTGGACTTCAACGCCGCGAATCAGGGTGCTGGTTGCGCCCTGGAAGTCCCACATCGTGCCAAAACACCATTCTGGGACGCCAGCCATGAGAGTGCCTGGAACTGCTGTGCGTGGCGCTGAGGTCCACGCGCGCGGTGCTGAGGCGAGAGGAGCCAGACTTTGAAAATGCGCCGCTCTCCATCCGTGAAGCGTGTGGGAACTTTGTAGCCGAGTGCGAGCGGCGCTCGGCCAGAAGCCACGTTTTGAAAACGGCCCGCCCTCCATCCGTGAAGCGTGTACGAACTTTGTAGTTGTAGCCGAGTGCGGGCGGCGCTCGGCCGGAAGCCACGTTTTTGAAGACGCCCCGCCCTCCATCCGTGAAGCGTGTGCAAACGGCCACATCTTTGAAAACGGCCACATTTTTGAAAACGTCCTCCTCCTCCTCCTCCTCCTCCTCCTCCTCCTCCTCCTCCTCCCCCTCCTCCTCCTCCTCCTCCTCCTCCTCCTCCCCCCTCCCCCTCCTCAGCCGACAAGCCCTCGCAGACTGTGGACGACGAGCGTGCGCGGGGCGCAGAGGCGACCGCACGCTGCAGATCGCCCGCCCTCCATCCGTGGAGCTGTTATTCTCGGGAGGGAAAGACGCACACAGACGCAGTTCGTCGTCGATTCCCCCGAAAAGGTGGGGAACTGTGGGGAAGTGGGGGGAGGGAAGACGAAAGCCCCACAAACATGTGAAAACGTGGGAAAATCTGGGAAGTGGGGGGGAAGACGACAACCCCACAAGGATGTGAAAATATTGGGTATCTTTTCATTTTTGTATGCATTTCTTTGTGTGCCCCCGCTCCCCTTTAGGTACACACATCTGAAGCGCAAGGATCATGCCTGGTGGGGAAGTCTCCGGCGACGCGCCTGGCCCGCCCTGCTTCACGTCTCGGGCTGCGACGGGAAGGAGTACTTCGTGATAAATCAAGGAGAAGGGAGGAGAAGGTAGGAGGAGGAAGGAGCAGTTTATGACAAAAAAGAGGCAGGAGTAAGTCATGACAAAAAAGGGGGGAGCAGGAGCCGGAGGAAGAACATGTACCGACACCGCTTAGCCTTCCTCGCCGCCACGGCTGTGTCCACCTCGCAGTCCTGGTCTGAGCGCACCCGGGAGGGTTCTACGTAGTAGCGGTGCATGCATCTCGTGCCTCCCCCGGGGAGGAGGACGAAGAGAGAGGGGACGAGGAGGAGGAGGGCGCAGGCCCCAGCCAGCGCAGCCCCTCCCTTCTCGCGTCTCGCCTGGGGGAGCTGCCCCGTTCGAGGGGGTACTGGGTGAGCGTGTCGGAGTGGTCCGCCCACGCCCACCCGAGGAGGATGCTTGAAGCGATCCCGAATCATCCGCGATTGGAAAATCTGGTCGCGACACGGAGGGGCCGGTCGCGACTGAATTTCGCGAAGCACGGACAAACAATCCGGTAACGACCAACAACGTCGCTACCGCGTGCCGCTGCGGACAAAACGGGTAACGTTACCGACTTCGGCTGGTAGCGTTACCAATTTTTCCAATCAACCGCTACACTTGACCCCATTGGTGGGGCCACTGGTCTGGTGCACCACCTCGGCGTGCCCCCCCAGTGCAGGGCGTGTCCTGCCTCGAGGGCAACGGTTTCGCTTGAACCTCGTGCCTGGAGGAGGAGAAGTGGGGGGAGGAGGAGGAGGAGGAGGAGGAGGAGGAGGAGGAGGAGGAGGAGGAGGAGGAGAAAGAGGACCAGTGTAGAGATACGACCCATCAGCGATGTTGGAGTACACCCTGGCCGCAAGCCCCCCTTCATAGGCCCCTACAAGGTCCCATTTCCCATGAAGGAAGTGCCCCGTTGGAAGACAATCGTTTCAAGATCCTGAAGCGTGCCGAAACAGCAATCTCGGGACTTCAACGCCACGAATGAACCTGACTGTTGCGTCTTGACGATCCTGACTCGCGTCAGAACACCATTCCCGGGACTTTAATCTGAGAGTCCGCGTAACTCTTGCGCCCTGGCAGTACTGAGTCGTTCCAAGACACCGTTTCTGATACGCTAACCACGGGAACCCGGGAAGCTCTTGCAAATGGTTGAAGCGAAGGTGCGCGGCGCTAAGGCGAGAGCCACATTTTGATAATGATTCCCCCTTTGCATCCGTAAAGCTCTGGCTAACTGGTACAGCGCATGCGCGCGGCGCTCAGGCGAGGGTCACATTTTGAAAACCACCCGCCCTCCATCCGTGAAGCTCTTGCAAACTTTCCAAACGAATGTGCGCGGCGATCAGGCGAGAGCCACATTTTGAAAACCACCCGCCCTCAGTTCGTTAAACTCGTGCGTTGTTGTTACGGCGAGAGTCACATTTTGAAAACCATCCGCCCTCAATTCGTGAAGCTTTGCAACTTTCAGATACGAATTTGCGCGGCGCCAGTGCGAGAGCTGCATTTCATAAACGACCCGCCCTCAATCCGAAAACGAATGTGCGCGGCGTTCCGGCGAGAGCCACATTTTGAAAACGACCCGCCTTCAATTTGGGAAATCGTTGTCAATGTTTCAACGTCAGGTTCATAATTGGCAAGCAAGTCTAAGGCGAGACGCCCGGCCCGCCCTTTCGACCCGCTTCGGGATGCGACAGGGAGGGGTTGTTTGTGAGGAAAAAGAATGGGGGAGTAGCAGGAGGAGGAGGAGGCGGAGGAGGAGGAGGCGGAGGAGGAGGAGGAAAGCAGGAGGAGGAGGAGGAGGAGCGCCGCGAGGTGAGTTCCTGCCACTGGAGCGGGCGGACTTCATGCAGCTCCGTGGCCAGGAGCGGCCGCGTCGCCGCCGCCGTCGTGCGAGCGTCGGCCCCGATAGCCGGTCCTTGCGTCGATCTTCGAGCTTCGTCCGGCCGAGGCGACGGACTGGAGCGAGCGACTGGGAGCAAACCTATATATGATCGCGTCGTAAAAAAATCAGGACGGGAAGTTTTTCGTCATTTTCGGCACCTGGCGGCCCTCGCCGGGCCCCGGGACCGTCAACAAACGACTCAGGATGAAAATCCAGCCCCGGGGAAAGGGTCTGGACTTCCAGGGATGCCGTCCTGAAAAAATCGGGACGTCGCATATCTGGGAACAATCCAGGGGGGGGGGAAGCATCGACGATCAATCGCCGTCCCATCGCCAATCGTCAAGCAGTGGCGAGCAAGAAGCATTCATGGTTTGCGCGGGATCTTCCCAGAGCATTTCCGGTTGGCTACTTGAGACCGTGCTGTTCTGACACATCGTCATCCACTGTGGTTGGAATCGGATCTCCTGGTAGGCCTCTGGGACTGCTGGGACGGCCAGTCCCTGCTCAAAATCGAGTACTGCCAGGCCCGAGGTTTTCAGTCTCGAGGCTTTCGAACGTCTTCGTGTGCTCTCGGGGGCTCTCCGGCCTCGGGATGCCTTCCAGCGGCCGTGCCTCGCCGAGGGCGTGCCCCGAACGGCCGTCGGAGCGCCGAGCTACGACCCAGAGACGAGCGTCAAGGGGCCCAGTGCCAACCCCTCCTCCTCCTCCTCCCTCCTCCTCCTCCTTCTCCTCCTCCTCCTCCTCCTCCTCCCTCCTCCTCCTCCTCCTCCTCCTCCTCCTCCTCCTCCTCCTCCTCCTCCTCCTCCTCCTCATCGGTGATGCACCGCCGTCCTCCCCCGTCGCCCCTTCCCTCACAGCGGCATGCACCGCTCAGCCGCGCTCCAACCCGAAGGCCTCCGGTGGTTTTTGAAAGCAGCGCCCATCTCTAGTGCGTGTTGAAGCGGGCCCAACCCCCTGCCCCAAGTTCAAAGTTCGAGGTGGTCGACGCGGGGGAGTGCGAGTGGTTTTGAAAAACAACATGTGTAAACCGCGGCCTGCTCCCTTAGACGAACATTGGAATTGGGGGCGCGGGGGGCGCTCTTGCGCCATCTTCTAGTCGTTGTACCTAAGCGTTCCTTTCGAAAACGCTGGTCCCTCCCGTCTCACGTCAACCCCGAGCTCCCTGGCTTGCAGGACGGACCCCGATCGGCTCAGAGGCCATCGGCAGTGAGTTCGCGGACGAGCCGGCTGGGTCCCCAGACCCCCGACGCCATGATTTTTGCTTATTGCGTCGACCCTCGAGGTCTGGTCCCATTCCCCGGGACCAGCTTCTCGTCCCGAGTCGTTCTTTGACGGTCCTGAGGGCTGGTAAGGGCCCCTGGACGCCCAGAATAGCGAAAAACTTCCGTCCTGATTTTTTGATTACCCGAGGGGGTCTGGGTCTGCAGGGCTGGACCTAGACGGTGTTTGGGCGATTCCGTGGGCCGTTTTCGGTTCGATCTCGTCTTGCGGCAGAGGTGGACTGAAGACAAAACGAGGGAACACAAAAGCAAAGCCAGAACGGAAACCACCGTTTAGGTTCAGCCCTGGGGGTCTCCTGCCCACCAGCCGCGGCATCGTGCGCTGGCTGCCGGCACGGGCACCACCCAGGCAGGCGCAAGCCGCAGCGACGCGCGCGCCGGCCACGCAGGGGCGACGGGCAGGCTCTCGGAAGCCTCAGAGAACGGAGGCTCCGCGGGTCGGGCGCTCTCCGGCCAGACCGCTCGGAAGCGGCCATCCTATGCTGTCGGGACGCTGAGCAAGGAACCCTTTTCGTTGAGGAGGGGCTCCGTGTTCCCTCAAAGCTTCGCAGTTTGCCTCGTGTGGTCCTTGGGTTTTCGATGGGAAGTCGAAGTTTGACATATTGAAAAAAAAGGGCCTCGTTCCTCATCTATCGCTCCTTAGGTCAACGCCCCGACTGTAGAGGATTAGTGGGCGAGGGAAGAGCGGCCACGCGCAGAGGGGGGTAGCCGTGCTCCAGCGTGCGATGATCGCGCCAGCGTTGCAGCCTCCAGCCGCCAGGCGCACTTCCCCCATGCGACGTGCGCCGTTGCTGTGGCGACGCTGGCCCCCGAGTGAGAGCCGCGCGCAATGCTGCCCTCGTAGACTGAGGCACCGGCGCGCTGTCACAGCGCAGCGCCACATAATCATTGAAGAAGCATGCATCGAATTCGGGAACCAGTCGGTCACAGCTCGGGCACCAGAACTTATTGGGGCCCGTTCGCCCACGAGGGTAGTGGAAGGAGGGAAGGCCTCTTCGAACCACCCTGGTTCTTAGAAGGCGCGGGCGCCCCTCCTAAGAAGCTGGTGGCTGCTTCTCAGAAGCTGTTCCGTGCTTATCAGACGTTGCTGAGGTTCTTCTAAGCAGCGGCGCACCCCTGCCTTCCTAGAAGGGCGGCCGGCGCCTTCTAAGAGACAGCCGCCCTGTAAGAAACCTTCCCTTCTCCCCCATACCCCCCTGTGCGCGCCGCCAAGAGCAGCAGCCGGATCTTCCCTCTGCCTCCGAAGCCCGGCAGCTGCGTGCTGGGCACCCGCCTCCGGGCCTGTCTTGCTGCTCTGCTGAGCCGAGAGGAAGCTGCCGACTGTGAGGGCTACGATCGAGAACCGGTGGGGGCAAGCTAACATATTCCGCGATTCTAGCTGCCTTGGTACGCCCGTTAAACGCAACACTACCGTGTTCAAAACGTCCGTGTCAACACGCTGCGTGCTGGTTCAACGTGTTGGCCCACGTTTTGGCGAACGTATCGCGCCAGACCTGCGTTTTCAGTCCACGTGTTGAGCTCCGTATCAACACGCTACGTGTTGCGTGTTGCGTATCGGGGCAGCTAGGTCCACGATCGACCACACTGAAGAGTGACCTGTTACCAGAGTGACCTTTGGTGCGGGCCCAGTGGGGCCCCCCGATCGCCGAAGGCGATGCGGTAGCTAGTAGCGTCTCGTGCGATTGTGCTTGGTTCCCCCGCGGCCACCCCAAAAGGGTGCGCACCAAAGGCTCCTCTTGCCCAGGGCCACTCTTGCGCGTAGCCGATGCGAGGCTTTATGCGATGTGCCTGGGTCGGGCGTGCGCCGCCGACAGAGGCCAGCGAGGCTTCACTCGAAGAAGGACAACATAGGCCAACAGAGGCCAACGAGGCCAACAGAGGCCAACGAGGCATAACCATAAACTTGACGCTCTGCGCGGATTTCTGGGATCCGCGCTGGGCCCCCCAGCGCGCCTCCGGCGCCGCACCTGGCGCGCTCCGCGCGCCAAGGGGGGGGGAGCCCGGCGCGGATCCAAGCAATCCGCGCGGAGCGCCAGAAGTATATGTTGATGGCGTTTTCCTTCTTTAGATAGGGGCCCGATAGCCCCAACCTGCCCAGGAACGCGCGGATTCACTATCGGGGGCTTGTCGCCGATCTATCGGCGATGTATCGCAGATTACAGGTCGATGTTCCCCGCCAATGCCTATCCCACCTATCGTTGACCCTCAAGACGCCACCGTGCTCTTTGCGGCAGCTTGTGCGGCGCCCGGTCGGGAACTCTTGGATGGCGTGTCGCTCCGCCGGTGCTTCGGACGCGGCCAGGACGAGGAGAAGTCCGTTCCAGGGCCTTCCAGAATGCTCTCAGAGCGTTCCAGAGCGCTCTGAGGAGGCCGCGGCGCCCGAGACATCTTCCAGAGCCACCAGATCTCAGAGAATCTTGATTTATCCTCACCCGATTTTGTCCTCGTCCTGGCTTCGTCTGTAGGGGCCCCTCAGCGTCAGGGACATTCTTCAGCCGCGACGCGAAATGTTTCCTCCCTCTCCCGGCTGGGGCTGAGCCGCTTTCGCTGCTGCCGCCTTCAGGATGAGGGAGCGGTGTTGCCTTGCGAGTGCGGCCTCCCGCCTCCGATCGGCGCCCGAGGTGGGTGGAGGCGGTGGAGGCAGCAGCAGAGCGTGTGGTGCTGAGAGTGACTGCTGGAGGGAGCGGCCACGTGCGTAGCATCGCAGCGGAGTCCAGCCGAGGCCCCCTGCTCCGCCCTCCTCCGCCTCCTCCTCCTCCTCCGCCTCCGCCTCCTCCTCCTCCGCCTCCTCCTCCTCTGCGCCTCGGCCAGGGGGGAGGCCGCCGCGGATCGCGGGAGGACGGCGGCGGAGGAGGAGGGAGCCAAGGGATTCGATGAGGCGCCCTGCGCCGTCCGTGCCCCGGCGCACGGGCCCGCGGCGCGGGCTTGCGCCGCACCGCATCCTCGGGCCGCATGCCGACGAGGCGGCGAGGAAGGCACACCCAGGGGTCCTCAGGATCAATCTATTCCGATCTTTGAGTTATCGACCAAACATAATGATCCTGAGACGCCCGCCCAAATGATCTTAACGAGTACCAGCCAGCAAAAAACGGCGCGACCGCTCGCGTCGGCCGCGACCGCTGCAGGGGCGCTCCGCGCCGGGAGGACCAAAACGGCCCAGCGGCCCGAGGCGAGTCCAGCCGCAGCGACGCGACGAGGGACAGGCCAGAAGACCGAGGCGCCCAGCAGTGGCGAGGAGGCAGGGCCAATGCCCAGCACGGCCGCCACCGACGGGCCGAGCCCTTCCGCCCAGCTGGTGGGTGTACTTCTTGAGAGCGTTCGCCTGCACAAAGGCGACCTTGCCGAAGATCCCACGATTCCTGGCCTTGGTCGCCTTATTCTGGCGGGTCTTGATCATCACAGCGCCCGGGATGACGAATTTAACGATGTACTTCGCCACTAACGGTGCAATGCTTGCGAGAATGCTCAAGGTCTTGAGCATCGCAACGCTCGGGATGACGAACCTACCCATGTACTTCGCCATTTACGTTGCAATGCTCGCGAGAGTGCTCAAGGCCTCCTGAGTTTCTCCTTCATCTTATCTTCTCCATGGCTCCTGCGGGGTGCGCCCCACGACGCGCGCACCCGCAAATGGCTCCACTGAGCCAGGGGGGGCTCGGAGGAGGAGGAAGGATCAGAACGAAGAGGCAGAGGAGGAGGAGGAGTTTTTGACGAGCGCCCTGCCAGCCACCAGCCTTATTCCCTGATGGGGATTGACTCCACCCGAATTCTTTCCTTCGGGTGCCAGCCGCGCTTGACCCTGGACCAATACTCCGCTGCCTTGGCGAGTGGGCGGGTGCACTCATGGCGGTGAGGAATTCACCTGTATGAGCTTAAACTATGTTGATTTCAGTGTGTTTGCGTGCCCGTAATCATCTTGGCTTAGGGCACCCTCTGTGTTCTTATCTTGCGATCGGTCTGACAACCATCATTGCTCGCTTCCGCTGCCGATGTTGGCGTGTCAGTGGTAGCGGAGCCCGTGGATCGAATCCCGCGGGCTCGCTGCTGGCGCGACTGATGTCCGCGCACAGCAGCCGCAGTGGACGAGGAAACAGTGGTGGAGTTTGGAGACCGGTTGAAGCAGGATCGGAGACAAAGGATAGTGCCACCAGTCCGAGTGACGGCGAGGGAGCAGGCTTCACGGAGCAACAGCTAGCGACTCTGTTGAAGCTGATAGGAGAGAGCAGCCGTCACCAGTTCCAGGAGTTGAAGGACGAGCTGCGAAACCTTTCGCAGCAGAGAGCGAGCACAGGACCGCCGGAGACCAAGACCGAGGCGGTCCACGAGACAGAGGGTGCGGGCCGGCACGCTCGCGACGACCCGTGGGCCCAGGATGACCCGTGGGGCGGCCGGCAGGAGCCAGACGAGCAGCCAGCAGGGAAGTGGGAGCGAGGCACCTCGTGGGGAGGTACACGCGAACCCTGGTGGCAGAGCTCAGACGGCAAGAGCCACGGCTACGATGGGAACAAGAAGGACGACGACGACGGACAGTGGACATGGAGAGGCCACGACTGGAGCTCCTCCAGTTGGTCATGGCACGAGAAGTCCTGGTCCAAGCCAGACTATTCGGACCCAGATCCGTGGATGGGGTGGACAGACTTCCGCATCTGGCGCCGCAAGATCAAGCGCTGGCTCTCGTCCACAGACGTACTGATTCAGAAGAGATCCGACAAGTTGTTGAAGACGCTGGACTTAGAGCTCCAGCGCAAGATGGAAGACATCAGCGACGACGTCCTGATGTCGGGTGTAGGCCCGGACATGATCGTGAAGCGGCTCGACACGATGAGCGGCAAGAGAGTGGATGATGAAGATCGCCGGGCAGCCCGAGAGTGCCTCTTCGGGTACCAGCGCAAGGCGGGAGAGACTTTGTCCATGTACGCCGCGCGCATGGAGCAGCAGTTCGATTTATTACGTGCCCAGGGACTCCCACTGCCAGACAAGTGGATGCACCTCTTCATGGAGGAAGGGGTGAACCTGGATGACAGTGGCAAGCAGATGCTGAGAGTGCTGACGCGCGGCTCGGGCAAGTACGAAGATCTCCAGAACGCCATCAGAGAGCTCGATCTGTCCAAGACCGAGTCCTTGTCCGGAGCCGCCCGTACTGCACGCACGTACCTTGGCGAGGACGTCGAAGAAGGCTCCGGCACGTATCACGGAGAGCAGGATGACGAATCGGAGCTGTCGGTGGACACTGACATGGAGAACGAGATATTGCTATGCATCGACTCGGCCGATATTGACGAAGACCAAGCACCTCTTCTCTTGTTCTAGCAGAGCTCCAGCAGGAGCGAAAGAAGACGTGGAAAGAGAACAAAGTGATGAAGCGCCAGGTGAAGGTGGACAGGAAGTTCTACCCACCGCCCCCTCATCCTGGCGGACAGAACGACGACAAGGGGGAGGAGACCTGCGTCCAGGAGGCGGCCGAGGCGGCATCAGCGGCGGAGCACACCGCCCGAGGAGAGACCGCCTCAGCATCGAGCAACTGATGAAGGTCACCAGGTGCAAGAAGTGCCGGAAGAAGGGCCACTGGTCCAGAGAGTGCCCGGAGAACAAGCAGTCCTCGACCAATGGCTTCGTGTTTCTGAACGAGCCGTCCGCCGACGCTTCGGGGCTCGTCCTGGCCACTCTCAGCGAGGTGGCCAAGCGCTGCGAGGAGGCCCTCCGCAGTCTCCCCAGCCAGGCGACGGCCCCGGACATCTTCCTGACCACCGAGGGCGGCAAGATCATCGTGGACACCGCAGCGGCGCAAGGCCTCATTGGCCCCCAGTCGCTGGCTCT